AGTAACTTATAATATATTTCTAGTTATAATATATTAAATATATATTTATATAATATATAATCCAAGAAAGTTCATCATATCTCCAGTATTTCTTATTTTCTTTAAAATATCTATATAAATATTTTTTATAATTATATTATAGATCTATTCCAGCTATCTTTATTTTCTAATTAATTTTAAATAAATAATAATAATAATTTATATTATCTTATCCATATATTAAGCAGAATTCTAAATAATAAAAATATCTTTATAAATATAATTCCTAGTCTTTATTTTATAATTTCTAATATTTTAAATCTTAATATAAGCAGTACTGTATAATCTTTTTAAATTTTAGATAAAATTATACTAAATTCTTTTTAAATTTCTTTATAATACAGTCTAATTAATAAGAGATATTTCTTTTATTATTTTTTTAATTTTTCTTATTTTCATTTTAATATATCAGATATAATTTACTGGTTTCTGATAGAGATTTTTTTAAAATATTAAATATTTTATTAAGTCTTTTCTTACTAGGTTTAAGATTTTTTAATTAAGTATTATATTCTTTATCCAAAGAATTAAACTTATTTTAAACTATATCAGAATATTTATTCTCTAAAACTAGCTTATTATTATTACTAATTTCTACAGGCTAATCAAATGGTTCAAATAATTAATAAATTTCTTATAATTCTAATAATACTAATTATTTATAATAATCTATTACTTCACCTAGTTTTAATATATTTTACTTACTAATACTAGTAGTTATTTTTATTATATAATATATAACTCCTTGTTATCTAGTATCTGTATTATAGTTTTTATCTATATTTTTAATAAACAGATAATAATATTATAAACTTTTTTAATTTAATTTTTAATAGCTCTCAGCTATTTTTAAAGTTATTATTATTTTTATTTATAATTTTTTAATTAATAACCTGCTTTACCACAGTTAAAATATAAATAATCTTTTTTATATTTTTTAAATTCCTTCTTTTTTATTAAATCTGATACTGTATTATATCCAGCTCTATTAATTTTAATCTATAAAAATTTTTATATTCTAGATTTCTAGACTATACTAATCATCTATTATTAACTTAGTAATTCTATTAATTATTTTATTAAAATATAGATTTACTAATCTATCAGTCTTTTTTCTATTTCATATTATACTTATATAACTTATTATTAATTTTAACTATTACTATAATTATTTATTATAATATTCCTGGCTACTCTTACTAAATAAATTTCTTTTAAATCTTTATCTTAATTTTTTTTTTAAATTATATAATATGAGTATTTTTATTCTAGTCCAGATAACTAATAATTTATAAGAACTTAGAAATATACTTAAATACTAATCTAGTCTACTTAAATTATTATAATTTTTATTCAATATTATATACTATGTTGATATCTCTGAATATTTATTTAAAATATTTCTTAAATTTAATATAACTAGCAAAGATTTTTTTAATATTATTATCTTATTTCTCTACTGATTTTTTCTAGTAATTATAAATATATAGTTTAAACCAATTAAATACTATTCCAGTTAGATAAATAAATATAAAAAAAATCTTATTAATCTTATTTCTGAGCTTCTTTTTATTTATATTAAAATATAAATTTAATTAAGTTAAAAAAGCCCTAAGCTTTAATTAATTACTATTAAATAATTCTAATAATCAGATTTTAATAAACTTAACTACTAAATAATCTTCAAGTAACTAGTTTTATTATTCTAAGATAATAATATTTTCTTATAATTAATTAATCATATTTATTAATTTTTATATTATTAATATATATAATTAATCTTCTTCTTAAATACTAGAGCCCTGCTGTAAAATATATAATAAGCTTAAATTATTTAATATAATAGATAATTATATAGTAAACACTTATATTAACTGATACTTAATATATCAAATCCTAGAATTACTTTTCTATTCCTATTAGCTTAGCTTTATTAATATATATACTATTAAACTAGATCAAGATAGTATCAGACTGAAATTCTATTTAATAGTAACTAATCTTAAATAAAAAAAGAGAAGTAAAACTAAATAATACTATATAACTATTTATAAATAAATATAGATAAGTATTCTATAGCTAAGCTTCTAAATATATAATTATTTAAAAATAATATTATTAAATATAAAGAACAGAATTATCTAAATATATAAAAAAATATCTTTATATATCCTATTCTCTATATATCATACATATACTATTAGGTCTGTTGTATACTACTATAATAATTATAAACTAGAATAATATATTATATATTATATATCTATGTATATACCATAGTCACGTGATACATGGCTGTTCTAAGCATTATAAAAATAATCAAGAATTCTACTAAATAATAGTTTGGCTTTACCCAAACACTGTTCTTATCAGTACTTTCTGCCTGGCAAGTCTGCCTTGCTAGTGAGTTAACTAGCAGGGGTCTGTAACAATATTTTATAATTTATTTTAAAAGATCTACTTTTATATCTTTTTATTTAAACAGAAAATAATAATATTAAGACTATATAAGATAAAGAAAAAAATAATAAATTAAATTTTATTAAAATACTTTCTATAATAATCTAAAAAATAAGTTTTAACTTAAGTTAGAAGTTTTAACTTAAATCAGAAATTTTAACTTAAATCAGAATATTCTTTATTAATATATTTAAATAAATCTAAAAAATTTATAAATATATAAATATAAGTCCTATATATCATATAAATTTCTAGATATTTAATATAAATCTAAAATAATTATTACTATATCAAGATTATTAGATATAATAAAATTTAATTTATTTTATATTAAAAAAATAACCCTTCTTAAACATATAATTAATTTTTATACTAAAAAAGAATTTATTATTATCTAATATTTATAATTAATAACAAAGAAATAATAATAATTATTATATTTTTTAAAATTATTATATTTATTTTATACTTTTACTCTTACTTTATCAGAATTTAAAAATTTAATAATTTATAAAGTATTTAAAGTATATAATTTTATTTTTAATTATTTTAAAGATTCTCAGAGACATCTTAGAAAAAAAAATACTTTATAAAAAAAGTAATTTTTTAATAATCTCAAACTTATATTAGCCAAACTAAAATTTTATTATAATTAAATCTATAATAATTAAGAATATCTTTATATATTTATAATAATTCTAGTATTTAATTTAAAGTTATAAGCTTTCAAATCTACTCAATAAAATAATCTAACTTATAATTATATTTCTGAATATAAAAAGATTCTAGAAAATATTTATATCAGATATAAATCTTATAATAATTTTAAATTATTATTAGAATTTTTAACAATATTAATAACATCTTATTTAATAAATTTAATAAATTAATCTAAATATTTTAATTATTTAAAATCTATAATAACAAAGAATTTTATTCTAAAAATTAAATAATATTTATAAAAAGAACTAATCCAGACTGAAAATATTTTTAATTTCTAGAAAATAAATTAATATTAATTTTTAATTTTAAATCAGATAGTATAAGACATACTTACTATTCTAGTTAATAAAATTAAAGTAAAAAAACTTTTTAATTTTATTTAAAATATATATTATTATTACTAAGATTATTTTTTTTCCAGAAACTATCAGAGTCTTAATACTTTAGATATATAAAAAAAATTTTAAATAAAATCTAAAATTCAATATATTCCTGATAATATTAATTTAATTTTATTTATAATTAAAAATCTATGTACAGAGATTTTAATTAAAAAAGATTATTAACTAGATCTATCTATTATTTAAATAAGTAATACTAATAAGTCTGATAAATCAAATAATTTAAATAAATTTAATAAATCTAATAAAACTAATGAATTTAATTATTCATTTCATTCTAATTAGAATAATCTAGATAATATTTTAAATTCTTAATATATAATAAAATAATTTCTATGCCTCCTCTATCAAGATCTCTATATATTCTATAAATATTTATATAAAATAGATTACGGAGCCGTGATCATCACAATATTAATTATTAAAAATAAAAATATTTATTATAATAAAATTATTTTCTTTTAGAAAAGTTCTACTAAGTAAGATATTATAATAATATTTATTCTTCATAAATTTTTCTAACTTAAGTCAGTAATTAAAATTATAATTTAGGTTAATAAATAAGAATTCTAACTTAAGTTAATACTTATAATATTTTATATTAATAAAATAAATAAATTATATTTTAAATTAGTTTATTGAGCTTCCAGAGCTTATTTAATAATAGAAAGCTCAAGAATATTTATAATTTAAAGTCTAGCTTAAAGCTTAACAGGCAAGTCTGGATAAGTAACGTAGCTTCTAATCTATAAGTCTTAATCAGCAGGATCTGACTCAGCCCGGTTACGAGCGGGCCCGGGCAAGCCCGACACCCACAGGCGAGCCCTGCCATGTCTATCCTTAATAAATTAATTAATTATATAATAATAATTTATAATTAATATAATATTACTTGCTTTAACAGCTCCAAGAATCTTTAAAAAAATAAGATTATTATAATTCTCAGGATTTAATAAATTTATAAAAGCATTTAGAATCTGTGCTATCTTGTTATATTTACCTGTAAGAAATATTAATTAATTACAGTTTCTTTAACTAAGTCTAGAATCCATAATCGACCTCACTGTGTGTAGTAACAGATAAGAAAATAAGCCTACTATAAAATAATCCCAGAAAAGGGCTATGCATTTTCCGGAGCTTCTCGAATAGGGGCATGGCCACAATGATTCCGCTTAATAGGATAAATAAAAAAGTTGAGCGATAAGTTCACTCGCGCATGGAAGAACAGAGCGACGCGGAAACAGAAAAATTGCGCTCTCTATGTCACTGGGGAAGTTAAGTTGGTCTAAACTCTAAAGAACCGGGACTATTGTAGTTCATCAATTATATATCTACTACTACTCTAGTACTAGTTGGTCGGTCCGCATTGTTTTTGCGTTTTGTCGTCCCATGAATGGTCAATCCTGTCACCGCCTTCCGCGGTTTGCAACTACGTAGTACGTCCGAATCCCACGAAACCGGCCCGTGTCCCTGATGGACAATCTCGATCAGCCAACTGGCCAGTTCAGTTTGTTCTAGCAACAGTTTGTATGCGAAGGAACCTTCCACCGCAAAGCATGGATTGGGATATAAAATAATTAAATGATAACAGACAACGGGCAGCGCCTTAGGCCACCTGTGTATTGTACTTATTATCATTTAACTGAGAACCAACCCACTGACAAACATGCAAAAACAGAGAACAGGACTTAGTAACCGCCGTGGCTCAATCCCCATCAACCATACCCCCAGGCAGCCTGTATCAGACACTACCTTCATCACTTACCTTCACCCCATTGCTTGCCTTGATTGCATTGTTTAGTTTGAGTCCGCTGCTAGCTTTGATACTGTTACTGCCATCTACAAATCCAGGGTCGAGGCCACTGCCCTGCAAGTAGCGGAAGACCTCAGAATACAAGGAACCATCGCGAACAGCCTCATAAATGATGGAAACCCAGGACCCGATAGTCTTCTTTGGTCGTCCATCAATAACATTGAGACCGCCGTACTCCGCAATCGGGTGCTCCACCAGACCGCGATGCATGGGGACGCCGAGTCTCTCACGCACAAACAGGTATATGGCCTTGGTACCCTCGCCGAGATAGTCCGAGGTTGTCGGTTGTCTGAGAAATCCATCGCGGTGGGTGAGGTAGCACTGTAAGATCAGATCCTCGAATGTTTTAGTGAGGCCAGCTAGCTTTTCGATGGACATGATGGTGGGGATACGATTGGCATTCGCCACAGCCGCAGTGACTAGCGACTGCGCCGCCTTTTCAGCACGCTCAGCAGCGTCATATGCGGCGGAGTCGTACCATGACTCCTCAAAAACCTTCCAAAATTCATGAAAGAAATCCTCTATGAACGTATGATACTGGTCCTCGGCAAGAAGACTTGAGGTGATTAGCTGGCGTGCCGGATCCTTCATGCTGGCAAGGAAGGTGCGGTGAAGAGTGCGCAGGTCCACACCTTGGCAGCCGGTGTAGAGGCAGTTCGCGACAATCATTGATAGCACCTCAACTGCTGCCATGGTCTGACGGGCGGATAGTAGCCCCAGGGAGTTGATTGCCTGGTTGTGCATCTCAGCGGATTGGACGTGGTTGCTTACTGGGTTCGCAAGAACGCCTAGCTCAGAGGTATAGGCGGCAGTATTAACATCAATGCCCTTCAAGCAAAATGACAGGCTAGGATCATCAGCTGCCAAGTTTGGGGGCAGGCCATTGCTCAAATCATGGTTGATCATCTCACTGGTTTGACTGAAGAGCATTTTACCGATTGACTGGAGTGCCAGGCGGATCTTTTCTGTAGCGGACGTGACGGCTGCTGCCTGGAAATTTGCACCGCAGTGAATATCATTGTCCGCAATATTCACAACAGGATTGTCTGACGTTGAGTTGAGTTCCGTATGAAGCTGCTTCTCAGCACTCAGAAGGTCCTCCAGCTGTGGGGAGAGCCATTGCGGTGCACTGCGCAACGCGTAGCGCTCCTGGGCCAGGCCCGAGGAGAAGCGATCCTTCGTGTCCTCCAGGCCATATGACAGCTTGGAGCCACGCAGAAACGTTCGAATATTCTGAGCAGCCTCAATTTGTCCCTGATGCGGACGGGCGGCAGCGATGAAAGGATGGGCCCATTCATTGTTGGCGTGGAGGGCCTCGGATGACAAGGCGGTCAATAATTGGGAGACAACTGCTAGTTGATTGGCTTCGTAGCAACCCAGGCTGGCGACAGCGGCAGCTGCTGCGGTGCCATTTATCAAGGATAGACCCTCCTTTGGTCCCAGGATGATTGGTGTGATAGAAGCCTGTTCAAGGGCTGTCTGTGCCGACATGATTCGGGGCAGCCCTTTCTGGCCACCAACTCGTACATACACATCCGGGTTTCCCTGTATGGCTCCAGATATATATGACAGAGGCATGAGGTCACCAGAGGCAGAGATGGAGCCTCGCAGGGGGACAATGGGGACAATGTCATGTTCAAGCAGTTTGATCATGGTATCCACCACGTTGCGTGTCATTGCAGAGTGACCACGAATATTTGCGTTGCATCGGATGAGAATCATGGCTCTCGTCCAAGCACTGGGCATGCTGTGGGACTCCAGATACTCATGACTACTTGGAGAGTCCGATTTATCCTCTCGGGTCAGGATGGCACTTTGAGTGTGCTGCATGAGTGCTCGCTGTAAACCGTATAGGTCTTTTGTGCGCGTGTCGGCACTCCCTCCAAATCCAGTATTGACGCCTAAACATCCTCTGTTAGCTCCATTACCTGTGCACTACCTCTGAGTCATTTGATTAAGTGGTCACTTGCCGTAGAGGTAATACCCCTTGGAAAGGTATCCCTGTAATGTATCGACACTGGCTTCGATACGCTCATCCATGATGTTATCGGCTTTGAGGGCAAGGCCAACGCCCTTTCTATTCAATGAACATCATTTAGCATCATTGTTTAGTAGGCAGAGACAGGGGGAACAGACCTTGCAACAGCGACGACGGACGCTACATCCAGTGAATGGCCATCAATTGCAATGGAGCCGGTTGAGACATGCCGTTGAAGCTTAAGCCAGGACTTCAAAGCCTGTTGAGCATGGGGGGTTGGCCAGACGTGATGGACGTCAAATGAGAGTGATAGTGACGTGCTACCCATGATCACAGTGATTGCCAAACTTGCGGGAGAAGAATGAAGGATGAAAAATTATAACAAGGAAGTGAGGGTCTCAAATGGAGTATGCTGGGGAGTGAGGTGTCGTATGGGGTTGGCCACGTTTTGATCAAGCATCTTTATATATCTATAGAGGTCAGTAGTTATCTCCGGAACCGTTCTATAATGTTGCGTGATATACACGAGTACTGCCTTGATAACAACAATCCATTGCGTAACCGATTAATATCAATATTACGCAATTCGAGATACGTATACCCTCATGCCCATGTTCTTGGTGGGGCTCCGGAGCCAGCCTACTTGCCTTGAAAGGCTTTTGAAAACCGCCATTGACTAGGAAGCCCAAGGGATATGGACGGAGCTCAGGCGGAGAAGAAAGCTCCGCGCTCTGAGCAAAGACGCCGTCGATGTTAGTACAGATTGTGGTTACTGGACCTTCCCGATTAGTATATTGCACAGTCCATGTCGGTCGAATTGTACGCAAGTTAACACCCTAGCGTTGTATTAGCTGGCCATCATATAGGGATGTGACAAATGGTAGCTGCATTTACTACTCCGTATAGCAAACGTTCCGGGGGAACAGGCATGGCTCTATGCCCTCTCGTTCAGTCCCATATCCACCCTAACCATATGTTATATAAGGAGAATATATCATAGTTTCGACCTATACCATATTTTGAGAGACAAATGATCCATAGCCTAATCTATGGAGGTAGGGGCTAGACTGTCATACGGAGTTCATCAGAACTACTTCACAGCAGACAGGAACTCCCTTCCCATGATTACCGTTGTGGCTTTTTTTTAAAAGTAGTTGGACAGACGCTGCGTCAATCCGTGCGCGTTAATTTACGCTACCGTGTCCCACAGTAACATTGGTAGTCTAAGTGCCGTCTAGCCTAGCCTTCAGATTTCTTACTCCATTCCTTGTCCCATTGCCTTAGGAACAATAGAGGGTTACGCACGACAAGTGCTGAATCAATGGGGACAAGGGGAGGGCGTGGACAGGTAATTGGCCATGTATCATGGTAAGTTAAGTTGACTGTTAGAGGTGTGATTATAGAGGACATAAACGAAATCAATCATACTTTCGTCTACGGTGCGATCAGAGTTCGATTTCATGGGAAAGTAGCAGGCAGCTGTAGGGTGAATTTGAAAATTGACGTTTAGCGAAAAGTTTGTATTTTGTACAATAGAAGGTATTGGAAGCGCAGTAATCTATAATACAAAACGAAAAAAATACAAATTAAGCATGTATCACTACGGAGTATACGGATCCACAATCATTGCCTGGGCCGCGACCACATCCACACTGTATGCAAGAGCTATCGAGGGAAACAACCCCAGCCAATAGCGTATACCCCATACTAGAATTGGAGGCCACCGTTGTAGTATTGTTGCAACCAGCTAACTTCCGCGGTTCTCAGTGGATGAATTACCCGGCCTCGATACTTTTAGTAGATGAGGTTCGGTAGCACGTGCTAGTCTCATGCAAACAATGATTCGGAATGCGCTGATTATCACCAGGGAAAATGGAAAGACGGTCCAGACCCTGGGGGAGGGGCTTAGCTGAACCCTGGATACTTACGCCTAGACCAAAGCACGGAAGTGAACATGCTATAGTTCTTTTAGCGCCGTCGAAGCAAGATTTTTTTGGCTATGAGGGCGGGACCGCGCCGAGATGGGGAGAGGGAATCTGACCCGCACTGTATCTCATATTGTGAACGGGTTGCCCCAATAATGGCCAAGTCCCTATCTCCCTGCTTATGCAATGTAACTCAACTATCAACTAGGTAGTGCGGTGAACCAATCAGAGAGAAAATGTCGTGACCGCATAATAAGTACCCCAAGAGCCTAATAATATATTTAGACAGGGGTTGGTGTCTTGGAATGATCGTATCACATCGAACCCCAATTCCAATTAGGGGAGTGTAGTTCGACGCTAAGGAGCGATCCATGTCTGGTGGAGGAGCCGGATGCGATCCACAAACCGTAGGTCTTCCGGCGGGCGAGAGACGGGTTTCATGAATTTGGTAACAAAGCGACATTGAGGGCAACAATAATTAACGTGTGGGGTTTGAAAGAGTTAATCCATGTAGGCCATCGCAGGTAGGCCCAGTACAGCGTGTATACTCTCCGTGTCCCTCGCAACAAACCCTCCCAGAGCCATCTCAGGAAGAGCAGAAGATATAGATACGACTTGCCTGCATAAAGACCTATCTCACACACTTGGATAAGTAGTCAGTATGCAGACCCTTCGACCCTTAGGTGAGGTGAAGTGTCGAAGGGCAACAAAGCTAGCGGTCTCGCCGCCCCACCGGAAAGATATTTAAACACGCGGCGCTCCTGGGGATCTGAGTCAATTGATGATAGTACGTACACCAATTGCACGCCTATTTTCCCAACCCAAACCGTCGTTATGAACCTACCCGAAAGAGAAATGGTACAGTACGATTCGGCCGACCCTGCGGCACGGCCCTCTTCCACGCCTCCCAGAACTGTCGCGAGCGATATTGCGGCGGCGGCGAACCAAACAGAGATCGATTGGGAGGGTGACGCTGATCCCTCAAACCCCATGAACTGGAGCTCCTGGTATCGATGGTGCCATATCGTCGTAATATCGCTCCTCACCTTCGTCACGTAAGTACGAGCTTTGTTTGCTACTGATCCACGCGCCACCCGGGTCCCCACCCGCTACTGGATAGAAGGCCGCGGTTCGGCGGTTTCAATGTTGATCACGCTTGTACTCCGATTGTCTCTCCTGCGGCTGATGCTACCCCCCTAGGTCTCTGGGCTCCTCGATGCTGGCCCCTGCAGTCCCGGACGTTATGAGGTCTCTCGGCTCCGACAACGCAGAGTTGGAATCGTTTGTAGTATCAATCTATGTCATTGGATTCGCTTTAGGCCCGCTAATCGCTGCCCCCATGTCGGAGATATACGGGCGTAGCATAGTCTACCACCTGTCAAACGTGCTCTTCCTTGGTGCGACCATTGGTTGCGCTCTGAGCACGAATGTCGGAATGTTTCTCGCCTTCCGGTTAATCTCCGGCTGTGCTGGAGTGACACCCCTCGCCCTCGGAGGAGGCTCGATTGGGGACCTTATGGCTCCCGAGAAAATGGGAACTGCGATGGCAATTTGGGGGCTTGGCTCTCTAGTGGCCCCGGTAGAAGCATCCTTACTCTAAACTATTGTGTTCGCCATGTGACTGACTCTACTTTCGATGACTTGCAGGTTTTCGCCCCTATCGCTGGGGGGTATCTCAGTGAAGATGTTGGTTGGAGATGGATCTTCTGGGTCATAACTATTCCGGTAAGGGCTGTCTATAATCACGGATAGTCGCAGGGCTGATGAAAGACTAACACCACCTGGTTGTATCCAGATGGCCGTTTTGACGTTATTGTCACTTGTTATCCTTCGTGAAACGTATGCCCCCATACTGCTGGAACGAAAAGCACGGCGCCTACGAAGGGCGACGGGAAATCAGGATATCAGGCCACGGTCAGCTTCAATGATGTCACAACGTCAGGTGTTTTTTGATGCCCTTGTGCGTCCGTTAAAGATGCTCCTGACTTCCCCAGTTGTCATGACGCTTGCGTTTGACGTGGCTGTAGTCTATGGATACCAATATCTGGTCTTCACCACATTGTCATACATTTTTCAAGATGTGTACCACCTCTCGACTGGCCTGTCCGGTCTGGTTTACTTGGGGGACGGGATAGGAACAATATTAGGTATGATTGGACCCTATTTCCTTCCTACCCTGAGCATCTACTTTCGCTACCCCCCCTCATAACCGGTTCACCCCAGCCTTTCGATCTTCGATGCACCTGTAGCAAGCTTCCCATTCATACTTTCTGTGGACTATGCACACCCTGCCGTATTGCGGACAAGTAGCCATTTATATTGATGATTTCTGAAATAGGAATCTTCTCAATTGGCTATGCTTCTGACAAGGTTGCGGAGAGAAGGAAGGCAAGACTAGGTACGCCAGACGAAACTCTGCCACCGGAAAGCTGGCTATGGCCTATGGTACCAGCTAGCCTATTGACGCCAATCGGCCTCCTGTGGTACGGCTGGTCACTACAGACAGGGGTGTTCCCAGTCGTGCCTTTGGTGGGCCTCGGCGTGTTTGGCTTTGGCATGATGGGCATCTTCCAGCCGGTGCAGATCTATCTGGTAAATGCATTTCCAGTGCATTCGGCATCAGCTCTTGCAGCAAGCAACTTGCTGAGGAGTCTAGTGGGAGCACTGTTGCCTCTTGGAGGGGAGCGAATGTATGATGCCATGGGCCTTGGATGGGGGAATAGTCTACTGGCTTTTATTGCGTTGGCAATGGCACCAGTCCCATATATCTTGATGAGATTCGGGGAACGGATGAGAATGCGTGATAGAAATATAAATAAATGAAGGGACCTAGGTGTCAGGAGCGTGAATGCGACTGACACGGTAAAATCTTCGATTTGAGTGGACGGAAAGAGCATGCACAATACAGCCCAGAAGCGTTACGTCGCGTCGTTGAACTGATCATATAGACTAAATGAGATGAACTGACGAGGAATCTAAAAGAGATTGATGATGGCTTTTCCGTGGAAAATGCGAAATTACAGTATAACTTGACTGGAGACCTAATTTAGGGGACTTGGTATGAATGGTGTAGCACGGTATAGTGTACTGGCCTGAGTATCGCCTGTAGCATAAATACCAATTATAGTCTTGGTTCCTCGTCCATGATGCGAACGGCAGAAGTCAGACAGCTCGCAAAGAAAAACAAAACAGCAGCTAGGAGATAAGGTAGTCCAATCCAGAAGCCGTCCTGGTGCACCCCGCGTTTAAACGCACCCGCCAGGATGGGCCCTGAGACCATTGAACCGATACTCTGTGCTAGACCAATGGCCGTGTTCAGAACACCAACTTGAGATGGCAGCACCAGAGCTGTAGCCAAGCTTCTAAGTGCCGAATAATACCCCCAACCAAATGCAAGTAGACACACCCCGAATACAAACAGCGGCGGCTGGGTTGCGATGGCCATCAGCGCCATCCCTAGGGTTAGGATCCATGCACTCCACTGCACGACCCGAAGGTCGGTGAGAATCGGGGAAAATGACAGGTGTGTACGCAACCAGTCCGACAGTTTCGGCAACAAAACCAGGAGAGTAAGGAGGTTGATGAGACCCTTGACTGTGATGAGGTAGCTGGCCCCCGCAATGCTCCAGGAGAAGCGTCTCGAAGCATATTGGATTATCAACTGTAATGCCTGGCGACCAATACTGGATAGAAGGAAGGAGCATACTATGCAAATTAGGTTGACGCTCCTTGCATTGATGGTGACACCTCTGGCCTGATTCCACTGGTTGCGTAGCCTGCTCCTCAGGAGACGACCTAGTGAATATTGGGTCGGGCCGGAATAATCAGTATCCTCGTGTTCGTTGTCTTCACCATCCCCTCTTCCCTGGTCTACTGTTTTCTCTGGATTTGTCTCGGGCAACAGGGTCGTCCCAAGGAGACCCAATGACTGTGCGGCTAGACCGAACAGCGAAGGAACCCACGGGCTCCAGGACATCAAGAAGGCACTGAGGGGGGTAGCCAAAATCTCTCCTAGCAGCATTGCGGCAGCCAAGAGGAAAAAGATAGAGGCACTAGTTGTCCGGTTAGCAAGTCCATAGAAGCGCGGTGTACTGGTGGGTTGCAAACCGTTTGCTAACAGGCACCACATCGGTAATCATAGCGTAGGCCATGGCCGTTGATAGCTGAGGGCCCCCGCCCACTAGTTGAAAGATCGGGGTCACCCAGACAGTCCGCAGCGGGAGAACAGCACTGCACCAGCATACCACCCGGATGGCCAGTTCCTCCATCAACAGGCCGGTAAGACTGAGCAAGAGGACAGGTTTCCGGCCAACTCGGTCGGCCAGGATGCCATAGGGCAGGGCCAACAAGATGCCTGGTAGCTGGTCAAACATGTCTTTCCACCCGTTGACAAGGGCTAGTTCCGCTTGCACCTCCGGTGACTTGCATCCCCCTCTCACTTCCACGGTATGACTGTCTGCGCCGAACCGGCGACAAATGATGGACTCGAAAATGGAGATCTGAGGGGCATAAGAGAGATAATTGCCGAAATCAGCCGCCACCACTGAGGCGAAGATGAGTGGCAGGAGAAAATGCTGGGAGACTGATCCTAGGCTGGGGACTCTGGCAGTAGGTTGGTCACAATCAGAGGGGCCACCCGGCGGTAATAGTGGGGCACACTCTGAGGGCAACTCGGATGACGGTTGAGGAGCCATGATAGAAATGATGGGGTTTGAGGCAGATGTCAAATTGTGCTGGTTGACTGGCGATTCTTGTTCCGTTGTCTCAGGGGGTGGAGGAAGGCAGAGACGAGAAAGGCCTTGTCAGCGGAAAGCTGGAAAGTCACGTCCCCAGAGGCGAGACTCTACGGAGTAGCCGTCCGTACTTTTGGTCAATAATGGCGGCTAGGCAGCCTTATCGGACGGGGGAGCCCCCGGGATGCTCTTACTGGCTGATGCACCGGACCAGGCCGAGCATGATACCTAATACGAAGTACGAAGTTGCTACTAGGCGCCGGAACGCGGTGGACCCTGGCCCTGGATTTCACCGAGATACAACTGGTACCTGTTCTCACCGGGTTTTGTAAATTTCAATACGATCGGTATTGGAAAACATCAGGAAACCGCAAAGTTTCATTTCTTACCCTGCAGTATGATAACGAAGAAACTCACGACGAGCTAGCTACGGCCTCCGGTTTACCCCCCCACCCGCCGGCAGGGTTGACCAGGGGAGAAGGGCTTCTCCCCGACGGCTGCGCCGGTGTGGTGGTAATGCACAGAACCCCGGCGGGCAGCATTGAAAAGCTCACCCATGCCGGTGCTCAATCGACGTAGTGCAAGAATCCATCCAGGTCCAAGGAAGTCCAGAAATACATTCAAGCATGGCTAGCGAATTTTGGCAAAAATCATTTGCTGGCCTCGAGTCAACGCCATACCCAACCCTCCCTGCCGGTGACTATCAGCCTGTGCTACAGCGATGCATGGAACATGATCTCAGCGATAGTGTTAGCCGCGATGCTGAGCCTTGGGAATTAAACACCCAGCTTCACGCCTCATGGGCGGTGGTTCTCGCTCTATACGCCAATACCACCGATGTTGTATTTGGCACATCGGCGTACTATTTGGACCACAGCTCTCCCGGGACCGACGATGTCCCTCCACTGCAGACCATATGTGGTAGTTTGTTTCCGCTGAGAGTATCAGTCCAGTGGGACAACGAAATTGGGCCGTGGATGCGAGAAATTCGGGATCAAACAACCGCTGCAAAGGAATTTCTCCCCTGGGGCGGGCTTGACAAGATCCGATCCTGCAGTCCCGCTGCATTCGAAGCCTGCGACTTCCGCACACTTCTCTTGGTGCGAGATTCGGAATCACAAATACACAAGGTATGATACTCAGGATGCGTGTCTGTCATCGAGGAGTAATTAATGCCTGTTTCCAGAGAACCAACCACTTGCCCATTGAGGGACTCATTCAGGGGACGCAGGTGGCCCTCATCCTCGAGCTTTTCCGATCACGAGACCCACATTTCTCCCTGTCACTGCGGGCTTATTTTGATGACGGGGTTCTGGATGCGCCCCAAGTCCAGCGAATCCTCTTTCAGCTCACACATATTCTCAGTCAACTCGGTGACAACACCTGGACACAACATGATAAATGCATTGGTGATCTGGACAGGCTTTGTGAGGAAGACAAAAACTTGATTTGGAAGTGGAACGCTGCGGTGCCCAGGGAAAATACAGCCGGTGTCACCGACCTGTTTACGCAACAGGTGAAGAGACGAACAAGCCATCCCGCAGTGCATGCATGGGACGGGATCCTCAGTTACGCGCAGCTGGATGAAAAGTCCACGCAGCTGGCGCTGTGGTTGCTGGAAGCTGGTATCGCTGGTTCAAGCGGCATTGTCCCGGTGTGCTTCGATAAGACTATCTGGACTACAATCACCATCCTCGCCATTGCGAAAGCTGGGAGCATCTTCATCCTGCTAGATCCACATCAACCTCGTGGTCGACTGAGGGCTATCATGGGTCAAATCCAATCTCCTACCATCCTAGCAAGGCATGATACGGCAAAGCTGGCACAGACCCTAGCTCCGAACATCGTCGTCGTCGATGATTACCTACTGCTGTCGGGTGACCAGATCAAATTGAACGGAAAATCATCGATCCCCGTGCCAATCTCCCCCGCTGACCACCTTTACATTGTATTTACATCGGGAAGCACCGGGACCCCGAAGGGAGTCACAATTTCCCATGCCAACCTATGCTCTGCAGTTGGGCATCAGGCCAGAGCATTAGGCTTCGACACCGGTGTCCGAACCTTTGATTCCTCATCTTACAGCTTCGATGCGTATGTCTGTAACACATTCCACACCCTGCTCACAGGGGGCTGCTTGTGTGTCCCATCGGAGACAGCTCGCATTAACAGTTTACAGTCGGTCTTGCAAGAGATGCAGGTTGAGTTTGCACAGCTGACCCCCTCTACATCCCGGCTGTTGGATCCCAAGAATCTTCCTCGCTTGCGGACCCTTATATTAACGGGTGAAAAGATCAACCGCACCGTCATCGAACCATGGCTGGCAACCGCCGGGCGGGTGCGCGTTATCAACGCTTATGGCCCCTCTGAGTGCACTATCATGTGCGCAGCCAACCTGAATGTGGCCTCAGTGAAGGAAGCAGACAGTATTGGTTTTGGTTTAGGAGCCAATCTCTGGGTTGCTGACCTTCATGACATCACCCGCCTGGCCCCCGTCGGGGCCATCGGTGAACTCCTCATCGACGGCCCCATCATTGGGCAGGGATATCTCAACGATGCTAATAAAACGCGAGAGTCCCTGGTTCATGTTCCCGGGGGATATTTACCCGGGGTGGCCGTGGTGCCCACCAACAAGATCTTCCGTACACGGGACCTCGTGAGGTATAATTCAGATGGTTCGCTCTCGTTCATCGGTCGGGCGGACACCCAGATTAAGATCAATGGTCAACGCATCGAGATTGGCGAAGTGGAGTACCACTTAGGTCAATGCTTACCCGACGGGGTCCAGTCCGTTGTGGAAGTCGTGCAGTGGCCGTCCGGTCAGAAGCAGCTTTTGGCCTTCATCCATCATCTGCCAAATCAACCATCGCCCCAGAAAGCGCCGTCTCGGGTAGACTCTGTCACTGACTCGTCCCTAGCCAAGCTGATTCCAGCACTAGATGATCAGCTGTCCGAGCGTTTACCGCGGTCCATGATACCTTCCGCCTACTTCCCATTACAGACGATTCCAATGACTTCATCTGGGAAGACGGACCGAAGAAAGTTAAGGCTATTGGCCCAGGAGATGCCTCACAGGCTGCTTGATAGGCACATGGTATCTCGCGACGGTAAGGCGTCCCCTCGGGATGATGAGAAGCGACCCATGACCGCAGACGAAATGGCATTGCAGCGTTTGTGGATACAGGCCCTAAATATACATAATATATCCCTACCCTTGTCTGCAAATTTCTTTTCGCTTGGGGGGGACTCACTTGCGGCCATGCGTCTTGTATCCTTGATTAATCGCGAGGGATATGACGGAATAACTGTTGGCGACGTCTTCCAACACCCACGACTATCTGAACAAGCACTGCTACTGCAGCGGCGCGGCACAATTTCCGTTAACTCAAACGAGCATCCTTTTGAGCCGTTCACGTTACTGTTGGGTCCCAATCCTGACCCTGATAAGCTTGCGTCTCTTCTCGGTCATATTTCGCAGATGTGTCGTTGCCATGTGCGGGACATTGAGGATGTCTACCCTTGTGCGCCCATCCAGGAAGAGATGATAGTACTGGCGGCCCGGCGTCCCCAACAGTTTGTCACACAGGCTGTGGTTCCCATGCCCTTGAATGTTGACATGAATCGCTTCAGGGAAGCGTGGGAGAATGTTCTTGCGTCCACTCCAATAATTCGGACCCGAATTGTGGACTTGATGTCCATGGGAATCCAGCAAACGTTCGCCCAGGTCGTGCTCAAGGGGCCGGGGTTTGTTGTACCTTGGTCCCGATACAGTAATCTGCAAGAGTGCCTTCGATGTGAGCGAGGCTCGGGAATGGCGCTCGGGGAACCTCTCTTTCGCGTTGGGGTAGTTGATATCTGCGATGGGATCGACCGCCCTCTGTCCCAGATTCAGCTGGTCATGACAATGCACCATGCTCTTTACGATGGCTGGTTTCTGGACCTTTTGAGTGATTGTCTGACGCGCGAATATTCGGCCACCACAGAGCCTGTAGTACAGGAAGCTTTGGTTCCATACCAGCGGTTTATCCAGCACTTATTCGGCCCCGACTCTAATACACGTGCAGCCTCGGAGTTCTGGACACGCTACCTGAAGGGCGTGGAGGTGCATCAGTACCCCGCTGCCAGTAATGCAATCTACAGCCCGGATGCAACTGGGGCAGAGATGATTCCCGTCTCAGGGATTAATTGGGCTCAGACAAATGGAATCACCGCCAGCACTATCATACAAACCGCTTGGGGAGTAGTCTTATCCAAGCAATCTGGTAGCTGTGATATTGTGTTTGGTACCACGCTATTAGGAAGACAGATATCTATGCCCAACATCGACCGTGTCGCCGGTCCGACAATCGCAACAGTACCGGTTCGCATTGTGGTTGACTGGGAGGGGCAAACGCCACTAGACTTGTTACAGGCCACCCAGGCACAAACAGCTGAGATGATTCCATTCATGCATTTCGGGATACGCCGCATTCGTCAGTTGAGCTACGATGCACGCCGGGCCTGCCAATTTCGAACGTTTGTCGTGGTACAGCCGTCCACTCTTTCAAGGGCACCATCCAAATTGGCAGCCTGCATTGAGAAGCCATTTGATCTGGGGACGGGCCAGGATGACATTCACGCATTCAACACATATATCATCATGATAGATTGTCAACTGACCCAAGATGGCGTTAATATACGTGCTAGCTTCGACGAATCTGTTCTTCAGCGCCACCAGGTTCAATGCATGTTGGGGGACATGGAACGCATAATACATCTGCTTACTACAACGACTGGAACCTCGTCCCGTCTGTCACATATGGGGATACTTGCGGCTGAGGAGCTAAACGAGATCATAAACTATCGACAAACACATCGAAAAGCTCATTTTGTTGAGGTGGCTTCGCACCTCAAGGAATATCTATCGGCGGCCGTAGTGGACGTCGTGGTGGATGTTATGGAGATTCCGGGTATGTCTCCAGAGCTAGTTGCCTTCCTTTACCCAGCGGAAGGTAACGCAAATCTTTCACAATTGTCGCAGATCTTGTCGGAGGTGATGGAACATCTAGTGGCCACCGTTCCTTTACATATGCTGCCGACGAAGTTCCTCCCACTTCTCAGTTTCCCGGTCAATGGGTCAGGTGAGACTGACCATGAAATGCTACGACAAATTGCGTTAGAGACACCACCAGATCGCTTTCTTGATCGTGATTTATTACGGGTGACCAATCAGGACCACGACTATTCTCCATTGACGGAACCAGAGCTCTTGTTACAACGGCTGTGGGCGACGCTACTAGGACTTAGCGCCTCTTCAATCAGCAAGGCGTCTTCCTTCCTATCGCTCGGCGGAGACTCGCTGACAGCTATGAGGCTGGTCACACTAATCAGAGAAAAGGGCTACTCACTGACGGTGGCTGAAATTCTACGGAACCCTTGCCTGAGAGATATGGCAGCGAGGGCAATCCCAGAACCGCTATCTACGCAATCTTGCTTGCCTTCGGCCCCGGAACCGTTCTCTATGCTCGAAATGTACATTGATCGAAAGATCTTGGCGGAGGCCTGTCATCTCCAGCCGTGGGAGATTGAAGACGCATATCCCTGCTCTCCATTGCAGGAAGCCATGATGGCTCGTACCGTCCGACGACCCAAAGATTTTGTATCTCGGGGTTTGCACAATCTCCCCTATGATGTGGACATTGACCGCCTTAAATGGGCGTGGGAGCAAGTGGTTGCCGCTACCCCTATCCTTCGGTCCCGATTTATTGAAACAGCTGGACATGGTCTGATTCAGGTAGTTACGACTGCTGAAATGCCCTGGGTCGTATATAACAGTCTTACCGAGATACCGGAGCCCTCCCTCAAGCTTGGTGGGTCCCTGTTCGAGTTGGCCGCTATTAGAGGCCGGTCTGCATTGGGATCCGCCGGTTTGGGAGCTCCTGCTCTATTGATGACAATCCACCATGCTCTCTACGATCGATGGTCCGCATCATTGATCATGGATATGGTTGAAGCAGCCTATCGAGGGAACGCACCAACGACGGAGCTTGTTCCATACAATCGATTCATCAACTATCTTGTCCAAGAAGTCGACGACGGACGCTGTCGGGAATTCTGGACGACATATCTCGCGGACTGCAGTGCGCCTCAATTTCCTATCCTTCCCACCTCCAAGTACGAACCAACGGTTAATCAAGTTCAAAAGCGAATTATCAAAGGGGCCGCTTGGCCCAATGGTTTTACACCGGCAACAAGTTTGAAAGCAGCCTGGGCACTTATGGTTGCCCAGTACTCCAATTGCCCTGACGTTGTCTTTGGGCTTACGGTCATGGGCCGGCAGGCACCGCTGTCCGGGATAGAGCAGATCGCTGGGCCGACCCTTGCTACGGTACCTATCCGTATAGTAATTGACTGGACTTCAACAACAGTACAAGACCTGTTGAGTAATATCCAATCGATGGCCACGGAGATGATTCCATTTGAGCACTATGGCCTCGGTCGTCTACAAGGTCTCAATGCGGCCGCTCAGCAAGCATGTCGCTTCCAGTCACTCCTGGTTATTCAGCCAGGCGAGAATGGTGATCCGGAAGGGGGAATTCTCGGCGGGTTACAGGTAGACGACGAAGATGTCGAAGCTGATACTTATGCACTTGTACTGGAGTGTGTCCTACATAACCAATCCTCAGACGAACTCACAGTGAAACTCAATTATGACGACAGGGTGCTAGACGAGCTGCAGTCGGAGCGGATTTTGGCTCAGCTTGAGCACGTACTCAACCTGATGTCCGCATTGACTGATACTAAAAGCGACGTGAGGCTCGAGAATGTGGACTTATTATCCCAGCATGATCACCACGAACTCTGGTCATGGAACAAAGACGTCCCACACCGCGTGGAAGGGCGAGTTGACAACCATATTGCCAAGCGCGTGGCTGCGAATCCAGATGCCCCGGCAATATGCGCATGGGATGGTGAGTTTTGCTATGGCGAGCTTCTCAGCATGGCGCGCCAGGTAGCGTATTGGCTGGTGATCGAGCACGGGGTCGGTCCAGAGGTTGCTGTTCCCATTTGCTGTCCGAAAAGCCGCTGGACTCCTCTGGTAATGCTTGCAATAATAATAGCCGGAGGAGTTGTTGTGATGATGGACCCGTTTCAGCCGGCTGAACGGCTACGCTCCGTGACAAGCCAAGTCAACCCACGTCTAATTATAGCAGCCACTGCGACAAAAGCCATTGCCCAGAAGCTTGGTACCATGCCAGTGTATGTTGTCGACGAGGCATTCTTGAACAACCTGCCTCCGCTAAACTCCGATGATAACAACCACTGGATACCAAGTGTGTCAGGCGATAATGCCCTATATGTGACATTCACGTCTGGTAGTACTGGGACGCCCAAGGGAGCCGTAATCACACACGCCAACGCCTGCAGCGCGGTGGCTTATCAAATGTCACACTTCGGATATCAGGAATCTACTCGTGTTCTCGACCTATCGTCATATGGCTTTGATGTTGTCTGGCAACAGTTCCTCCATACCCTCGTTGGAGGCGGCTGTCTGTGCATTCCCTCTGAGGAGCAACGCCTAAATGACATCCCCTCCGCTATCACTGACCTACGTATCAACTATCTAGATAGCACACCCTCATTGGCTCGAACGTTGGACCCGAGCTCCTTTCCAAACATCAGAAGGGTTGTGCTTGGGGGTGAGCCAGTGAGAATAGATGACGTCACGAGGTGGGGCGCTGAGGTCGAAGTCATCAACTCATATGGTCCATCTGAGTGCACTATCTCTAGTACCATTGCTCTCTACGGAAGGGACTTCGATACAAGCGTCAATCTGGGGCGACCGTACGGGTTGAATGGCTGGATTGCCAGCTGCTTGCAGCCAACTAAGCTAGCTCCAATAGGAGCCGTCGGCGAGTTGGTACTTGAGGGCCCTCTGGTTGGAAGAGGATACTTACACAATCCGGAGAAGACCGCAACCGTGTTTATCTCGAACCCAACCTGGCTACTTCAAGGCGATGTGAATAGAGGCATTCCGGGAAGACGCGGTAGATTGTACCGGACAGGCGACCTAGTGAAATACGATAGTCAAGGAAGACTGCAGTTCGTTGGACGATTGGATACGCAAGTCAAAATCCGCGGCCAGCGTGTGGAGCTGGAAGAGATTGAATACCATGTCTCCCGGTTGCTCCATCCCTTACCGTGCAATGCTGTTGTAGAAGTCATCGAGGTGTCCACAGTGGGACAGCCGCATCAAAAGTCACAGAGACTCACGGTGTTCCTTTCACTCAGTAAGCGGACACCTGCCGTTGGAGGTGCTTTGAATGAGATGGCGACGGCGTCACTGCCTAGTTCTTACGAGCTAGCCCGTGGACTTGCAAAATCCCTCCCATCGTACCTGGTCCCTGCTGCTTTCATCGTAATAGAGCAGATCCCCATGTCTTCATCAGGCAAAGCTGACCGCCGACGGTTGCGCGAGCTGGGGAGGCAATACTACATGGAGCAGTCGCAGGGCGACAATCACGTGATAGACCCTGTCAATGAGGCGGAGAGTTTCATGAGGGGGCTGTGGGCGGACGTTTTGGGCATCCCGGCCGATAGGATCGGACGCCAGGACAGCTTCCTCGATCTCGGAGGTGACTCCTTAACTGCTATTCGCCTCGTGGGGGCTGCCCGCAAACATAACCTGCCCCTGTCGGTGTCAATTGTCTTTCAATATTCGCAGTTGGACCGTATGGTAAGCATACTATCCAGGGCCGCTAAGAACGAGCCACCCAATGAACACCCGGATTGCAAGGAAAATTCCTCGAGCCATACACGTGTTGAATGGCTGCCAGACGCAACTCAAGTCGCTCAATCCCTCTCCCTTCCTCAGAGTGCAATATCCGATATACTTCCAGTCACGGAGTTTCAGCGCTATGCCATTTCATGCGCCTTTGCAACGCCCCGAACGGAGTGGAACTATTTCGCCATACCCTTCCAGCATCCCGTGGACATTGCCAGATTGAGGGAGGCATGTCGGCAGCTGGTCCTTTCTCTGGATATCTTACGCTCTGTATTCATGTCACACGGTCTAGAGGGTCATTATGTCCAGGTCATCCTCCGCACTTCGGACCCCCGGGTCCATGTTATCAATGTGTCTGGAGAACCGCTGAAGGAGACATGCGATAGGATTTGCCTGAAAGATCTCAGTCAGCCAATATCACCGGGGTCTCCCTTCGTGGGCTTTTACATCCTGCACCAAGAGAACACTGGAGTTGCCCATCTGATAATCAGTATATCACATGCCCTCTATGATGGGCTCAGTCTTGCGCTTATGATGGATCAGCTTGCAGCACTCTACGATTGCCGTCCTCCTGCGCCAAAAATTCAGTTTTCATCGTTCATCGAGCATTCTCTTTGCTCACAAGGACGCTTTGATGCATCTTGTGCGCATTGGCAAGCTCTTCTGCAAGATGCGCCTGTTCCAACTCAGGTCATCGAGGGCTGCAATTTGGAAATCCGACCTGGCAGGCGCTCCCAATTTTCACGAGAGGTTGTCTTCTCCCGTTCCCTAAAGGGTATCACGGTAGCAACCGTTTTTGCAGCGGCCTGGGGTGTTGCCATGGCCCGGGCACTTCAGAAGGAGGACATCGTTTTTGGCCGTGCTGTCTCTGGTCGATCATCAGATCATGGCCTGGTCGTCGGGCCCTGTTTGAATCTGGTACCGGTTCGCATGCAATTTGCGACTAACTTTGCTTCTATGACACGCGCGACATTGGACCCATTGCCCATTATTCAGTCTTTGCAGTCGCAATTCGTGAGTTGCATTCCCCATGAGACTATCGGACTCTTTGACATCGTACAACAATGTACTTCCTGGCCTGACAGTGGAGCGTCATTTGGCTCTGTATTCTACTTCCAGAATATAGAAGATACGCCGCATTTTCACATCGCTGACCAAGAGGTCCCCTTCGTCCCTCTTCGCCTCGATCGGCAAGACCCGCCGGAGCCCCCACGCTTGGATGTCCACCCTCATGGAAATGGGAAGTATACATTGCAGCTATCGGTACATGAACGCGCCGTGGGAAGTGAAGGTATATGGTCCACTATCCTTGATCAAATGGAATGGTTTCTGGGAAGCATTCCAACAGAGCCCCACACACCGGCCAGTGAGAAGCCGTTAGGCATTGCCAAGTGAAGCGAAATCGGCTGTCCAGCGCATATACGAAATCTCATTCCACCTTGGAAGACGGGGTGTTGAACTAGAGCTCCATGAGAGCCTTTAGCATATGCTCAACAGGAAATGAAGGAACGGCGTGCTTAGCACGCTACCAACGTGACAATGAAGTCTTTTCAAGTCATGGTACATATATACCCTGAGTATTCATTGGTCAGTGATAAATGACTGTGGTGGTGAAGTAAGCCTAAATGATTGCTCCAACTACGCAGAGATAAGCAGGGACAATGGTGGCTACCGTCCAGTAAAGTTGTAGATACGATTATCCACTGATTGTGAATTTTGTAACTATTGGACTACTTAAATCTGTGCACTCATATTTTCATTGCATTAGTCAGTAGTTCATGTAGCATCTTTTAATAATAAATACTGTTGGTATGTCTGACTCTATACTTCTACAAACATATACGACCAAAGGGTGTGGAGAATAGGACTTCCTATCCGCTCAGCCAAGATTGAGCCACATGCTGTCGGGTTAGTATTTAGTTGTGACCGTACCATTAGATGGTATAATAAAAGAAAGGGAAAATATGAGAGAATAAAGTGTTAGGAAACAAACATATATAATTTAAAGGATAACCAGTTAAAATCAAGCCATATTGAGTATGTTACTAATTTATTGTAATAGGCAGTCTCGGACAGAGGTTATCTTATCAGTACTACTGATTTATCGGCCATTCTAATATTATTACTGTCTGTCAAACTCCCAGCACTGCAGCAGAAAGGGCCAGAAAGTCTAAACTAGAAATCCATGGGCATAAACTCATTAACTATTGTTGAAGCAGTAATATTGGTAGGCTTGGTCGTATGACTGGATCGTGCTAGTGCTGTTACTAAGTAACTATCTCTTCCACGCACGCCTGGCTGCGTCACGTAGTAGTGCTTAGATAGAGATAGTATACTATGAGTACCGGATATATATCTCCGTCTCTTTCAACCGAGAACCACAGCAAACTTTGAGCTGCTCCATGAATCGATGGTTACTAGTAAGTCCTTCAATGAGACATGATGATTAGAACAGGCTGCCGCAATAGTAGGAAGAAGAGAACTCTGCTAAATTGACCAAAGTCAGGATCAAACCAAGGGAGCTAAATACAATCTCCCCGAAACATAAAATACAGCATCTGATGGAAACATAAACGTCATTAGTTTTATTCTATGTATAAATCCTTATTTATTATAATATCAAGTATTACTAGTCTTTTTTATACCACGAGCTGGTAATACAGCCAGCTTACTCTGCTGATAAATCCAAAATCTAAAAATTATAAATATAACAGGCATGGAGATCATGATAATTATAATATATTTTAATAAAATATTTACTTACTGTATACTAAGATTAACTATTATCTGCTGTAAGAATAACAGGAAAATATAGTCTATTACTGACTAGAGAATAGTATTTATTATAATAATAGATATAGTCCTGATCTTATTAATACTCTGTCATGAATTGTAAAAAAATTTATTTATAAAATAAGATAATAATTAATAATATAATTAAAGTACTATAAGAAGATATATAGAATACTGAATCTAACTAGAATACTAGCTATTATTAAAGCTATTTAATAGATTTTATTAGTATATCTAGTTTAATTAAATTTGATTTAATTAGTATTACCTATATAATGACCAGGAATCAAAATATTTATTAGAATATATTAATTATAAATATAATAGTACCAATAATCACAGCTGAAAGATATTATTTAGGAATAAGCTTATTTTTATTAGCTACTAGCTTATATTTATATAATTCTTATAAATAAAGAATAAAAATATCTATGACCAGCTTTTTTATAATAAAATTAATAAAAATAAGTTTTTTTATATCCAGGCTTATTCTATATATATTATTAAAGATAGAGTGGCTATACCTGACTATTATACCTTAACTGTAATCTGACTGTTAACCAGCAGTCAGGTTAAGATATATAATTTACTTTAACTATATAATTAAGATCAGGTTAAGATTAAGAAATAATTATTAATTATTCTTAATCTCAGATTAGGAAGGTCAGGTATAGCAGGTAGATTAATAATTATAAATTAATTAATAATTTTTATAGATTCTTTATAATAGTATTTTATTACTAGTAATATAATTTAAAATACAGTGTTCTAAGTAGTTTTATATTATTTATTAATAATTAGTTTATATTATTAGCTAGTAAATATTAATATAGATAATTAAATAAATTCTATATTAGATTTTTATAGAAAACTCTAAATAATAAACAGTAATTATATACTTAAACTAGAATACTAATAATTTTAGAATAATTATTATTTATTTTATTCTTTATATTGTCCAGGTCTATAATTATAATAATAAAAAAATCTTATAATTTGAGTATTTATCTGTATCTAGATATATATAATATTAGTAATTTAAAATAAAAATAAATTTTCTAATAATTTATCTTTTAGATTATTATTAAGATTATCTATATTTTTATAATTATTAATATATAATATTACTGTTAACTTCTTATCCTTTTTATTATTAACTATAAATATAATATTAAGATTAAAATATTAGAAATATTCTGATATTTTTTATTTATAATAAAATAATTAGTATATATCTAGAGTATAAATATTTTAATAATCTCTAAGAGTAAATAACTCTGGTAGTAGTTAGTAATAAATATTTTAAAAATTATTAAATAAATATTTAATATTAATATTATTAATTATAATTATTAGGAAGTCCCTAGCCATGCAGTAGAAAATAAAAAATTAATTATAATATAATTTCTAATAAATAAGAATATTAGTATATCCTATAATTTCTATAAGAATTTTAATATATTCTAGTATATTTAATTTTTAAAAGATTATTTTTAATATATTTTTAATATTAAGATAGGCCTTGAATTCCTTAAAAATTTTATTAAAATATAAAAGCTTCTAATATTTTAAGATATTATAAAAAATCTTATCCAAGCTTAAGAATATATTAAAGACTGTAAATAATATATTAATAATAAGATTCTATTAATAATAATAATTAAATATTTTCTTAAAAATAGTTTAATATTATTAATACTAATTAATATTATTATCTAGCTAGATATTTTTCTTGAATTTTTTAAGCTTTAATATAGAATTAAGAATAATTATAATTATATAAATATAGTTTTCAGGTCTGTAAATATAATTATAATATTTTTAAAATTTTTTATATATTTTTTTTAAGTTTTAAAGGATCTCCTGCTTCCAGGATACCTGTTTTTATATTAATTAATTAATAAATTAATTAAGATAATTAAATAGATTATTATAAATATTATAAATTTTATAAACTATAGGGCTCCTGTTCTCTGACAGATATAAGATAAAAAAAATAAATATAAAAATTTAAAAAAATATTTTAAATACTTTTATTTTATTAAAATAAAAAAAATAGTTAATATTATCCTGCTTCCAGTATTAGATAAAATCCTTAATATATTAATATAATTTAAATATATAATAAATTATTAAATAAATTAAGTTCTATTAAATTTTATAGTTAAGGAGAAGAAAATATACTAATTAAAATTTTAATAATTAAATAAACTAGAATTTCTTCTAATATTAGAGACTAGTATTTATAAACTGTATAATTTTTTAAATCTATAATTAAATATTTAATTATTATAAAATAATTTAATTTAATTAATTTTTTAAGTATCTTCTGTAAAAGCCTTCTGTAATATAATATAAAAAATTTCTATATAAGATTTTTATAAAAAATATCTAAAAATCTTTTATTTAAATCTTTTAAAAGACTCTAGTATATACCTTCTTAATTATTTAGAAGATACTAAAAGAAATTTTAAATTATTTATTATTATTTTTTTATATATAATTAACAACTTTATTTATAGTCTTAATTTAGAGTTTCTAAAGAAAGATATTAATAAAAAGTTAAATAATATAAGTAAAACATGGAATATAATACTAGTTTTAAATTATAATTATAAAATTAGAGTTTATTAGAATCTTATAAAATTAAAGATAATTATTAAATTAATTTTAGAGATTAAATATAATAATACTGAATATAATATTATTATTATTAATATTATTAGTAGTTATATCTAACAGCCAGTAGGTTAGTTAATATTTTTATAAAATTTTTATAATTATTTTAATTAGATTTTTACTAGTATAAGTTCCTGACACTAGTTAAAATCTTAATAATATCTTATAATAATCTAGATTTTTTATTAAAAAATATTTAATTAAAGCAAGAAATACTTTTTAATCTAGATTAATCTAATAGTTAATAGTAATTAATATTTATCCTGTTTCTGAAAATCTTGATAATAACTAGATATATATTTAATTTAATAATTTTAATAGATATTCTATAATCTATATTTAATTAAATATATTAGACTTTTAGAAGAATATAAGAAAGATAAGATTAATTATTTATTAAAATTAAATATACTCAGTAGTTTAAAAAAAAGATAATAAATAATAATAAAATATAGAATTTAATTATAAAAATCTTATTTATTATAATCTGTGGGGGCCTAGTAGCTTAAATAAAAATAATATTTTAAAATAAATACTAATAAAAAAATAATTAATATTAATATACTTATAATAAGCCTGCGGTGAGTATTTATTTAATTATTTATTTAAAAAAAAATTAAAGATTTCTATTTCTTACAGCTTTTATAGAAATAATAACTTATAAAATTAATTCTAGAATTATTAATTTCTAGATACTGTAATATATATAAGTATAAAATATAATAAATATAAGAGATTTTATCTGGAAATAATATATTTTTTAAAAAAATTATTTATATTATTACTGTCTTTTCCTAACTAAAATAAAATAATAATTTTAAGACTTATAAATAAGTCTTGTTAAATAAGATTATTTATTATTATTTATAAAAAATAAAAGTCTTTTTCTAAAAAGCTAGATATAAGATAATTTTATAATTTTTTATAATATATTTAATATCAAAATTAGAAAGGCTAGTAGAATTAATTAAAGAATTTATTTTAATATATAAATTATTATATTCTTTTATTATCTGAAAAGCAGAGATAGAGGATTTAATAGAATTCTTTAAAAATAAATTAGATAAATATAATTAATTTATGATATTAAATCTAGTTATATATAATATAAAAAAAATAAATAAAAAAAATTTTTATAAAGTATTATAATAAAACTTATATAATTATATATTATTAAATAAAAATATATTAATTAAGTTA